TATTAAATTACGCTGAGCTTGCGATTGATGGTGGATTAACTTTAACAATGTTTCCATCAAGATCGTTACTAATACTGCTATACTTGAACATTATAAAGAAAACTCAATTTCCATAGACACACAACACTTCACATGTCATACAAAAAAGTTTTTATTCTTTCGATCAATTATAGAAAATTCTTTCACAATTTTGCTTTTTGTCTTTTTCTTATCTTACAGTCTTAGTTTCTTTTAATTATTTTGTTACTCAATGAATAATTCTTTTATTTTAGACGATTAATCAAAGCTTTAATAATAATTAAAAAAAATTACTTCCTTCATATCTTATCACTATGTATTTAGCTTTCAAGCAAATTACGCACATTTGTGCAGATTCTGCAACTAAAAAATTTCTTTATAAAATGTCGGGCAATACTTGGGCAGTTAATCTGGTACTATTAAAGTTTAGGCTTTCTTACTGCTCTAATGCTTATGCAAAGCTCACAAAATTGTTTATCAAATATCATCTTTTCAATCGTTTAATATTTCTCAATTATTTTCATTAAAGAAAATTTATTAAGAATTTGACAATTAAATTAATCATCAAAATATGATTTAAGAAGTATTCCACGTTTAATTGATATCGAAATGACACTCAATACGTGACAAAAGCGAAATTTTTAGCTTTGACTTTGAAGACATAAAAGTTTACAAAGAAATTTTCACAAAACTTATGACGAAGCAACTTAACTTTTTCTCTACAGCATTTTATTATTATGTTAATAGTTTGAAATTTTCTCTTAGAGGGCTTCAAAGTCTTTTCTTAATCATAATGATAAAAAGAAAAGAAAAAATAAAATATATAAAAATGTTATTAAACTCGCCATTCAAAAACGACAAATGAAACTGAAACTTTCAATGTTATTTTATGTTCACACATTTACCAATTCAAATCACATTAAGCGAAACGAAATAAAAATATAGAAAATAAATTTTTGCGTAATTTTTGTTCTCTGGATTTTTAATTGGAAGTTTTTTTTTCTTTGATGTTGATTTTTTTTCATTGTTTCAATTTCCGTTTAGTGGTTAGTAGTCTGCTAAGTATTTATACTGACTCCCATCACACACTCTCATATACACGTACACACTAACAAAAATATGTTTTGCAGAGATTTATGTTGCTGTTGTCATTATATGATCGCCAATTAAATTAACGAGCTAAAGTTTTAAAATCAGAAAATACAAAAGAGAGAAAAAGAAAACAAAATTTTTCGTTCATTTATAGGGAGCGTTTTGTTAATGATGTTACGGAATTTAATTGAGATCTTACGATTAATTAATAATTATTTCAATTGCCCTTGAAATTGTGTAACATAATTTGAAAAAATCTTTCACTTTTCATTAAATTCATAAAAGAAAAACTGAAAATGTTTAATGAGGGAATGCAACACTTAAAATAACAAATCAGTTCCTTTCGTGCCTTCGCTGCTCCATCGTTGACTTTCTTCATCGGTCGCTGGCTTTAAATAATCTTCACCGTCTGATTCTGGATTTGATATGAATGTATTTTCATCACTTGATGCTGATGATGGTGATGGCGTGGTTCTTGTGATTCCGAGTTCAAATGTCGTTCCATTTGCTTTCTGTGGTTGATAATTAGCGAAAGGTGTTGAACCTAAAACACATGTAGAATCAGTTGAATATTAATTCGATGAATGAAATCACTTACCGAATGGCACTGTAGTCATAAGCTTCGATGATGAGTTACTAGCATTAGAACGAGCATAAAAATTTGCATCAATTTCGTCTTCATCACCAAACGTCTCATCAATCATCAAAGATGTTTCCGACGGATATTCAAACGTTGCCGTCAGCGAGTCATCAAATTGAATTTTGAACTGTAAATGAAAAAACAAAAAAAAATCAATTTCAATCCAATTTTCCACAATCAAAAGCAAAATTTATAATCTTTTTGAGTTCATTAATTCATAGTTGCACGCGGCATGAAAAATCGCAATTTTTACAGCCACAAATTCTCGATCATAGATCATGAAAAAAAAGAAGAAAAAAAAATATACAAATTTAACAAAAGGAACCCGTTATGTGCGATTACGTAAATGGGATGGAAATTGTCTGTTTGATTGTTGTGGCAACTTAACAATAACCAAGTGAAACAGTAGTCCGTTCAACATAGATAGAAGAAAGAAACTTTGTGTTTCGTAAAATATTTTGTCTCGCGTTTTTCATGCGTAGTCTGTATGATAAATGAATGTCTGGAAATATATTCTTCCTATTTTCAATAAAACTTCAAGACGAACGAAAACTTGTCATGTCAAAACAATAAAGTAATAAAAATTTGCACTCAAGCACGCACCGAAAGGATAACAGAAAAAGAAAAATTGAATAAACGCATGTTGGCTGTCGCATTCTGTTTCTAAACATTTATTTTTACATGTACATGTAATAAATGTCGAATCTGATCGTCCACATAATGATATAATCATCAATTCATTCTTACTTTACAGAGTAAACAGCAGCAGCAAAAAAATCATTGATTATTAACTATGTTCACTGAATGAAATAAATGAAATGAATTTTCAATTTCTCAGATGAAATATTAAAGCAAAATCATCAAATATTAAAATTTAATATGTGTACGGAAACCAAATTGAATTGAATATTTTCTTTTCAATCTTTATTTTTTTTCGTTTTCTTTCGAGATGTGATGCGTTTTCCTCTTTTTTTCTCTTGTGTTCTTCTTTTTTTGATCATAATTTGTATGAATAAAATATTTTTACGCTTAAAGGAGTTGTTCTGTAATAATGACAAATAAATTGTTACAAATCGACATTCATCTTTGATTTCTTTACAATCAATAACACGAAACCACAATATTTATTCAAACATTGACATTACATACACATTAACCCCATAAAAATATCAAAAACACATAAAAACCGACGTGCAATGTTTATTTCATTCTCATGCTCCAACGTGTTCTTATTTAATTCTCTAACTCTGCACATGTTGATGATTCCTCACTCTTCATACAGTTTTCTCTCCGCTTCCGTTCATTATTTCTCAACACTAAAAGCATCCGCGCACATATCGCATTCGCTCATATTTTAATCATCATAAAAAAATATATCGCAAAACTAAAATTAATGAAATAAAATTGCTGTATATTTAAAGAGAGAAGGAAAAAATGTTGAACGGCTATCGTAGTATATAATTTTTAAAGGTCAAAAACACTTGTGCACAATTTTTCAGTTTCATTCAACCCGTGTGATGATATTTTGTGTTTTTATTTTTACATTATTTAGATCTAAATAAAGAAGGAAAGAGAAGAAAAATATCTGAATCACTTCCTATTCGTATACAGATGTGTGCGCTTATGCATGACGAGGCTCATCCTTAAACATTATTAATGTTCAAAGTTCTATTTTTTCTCTATAATAAATAACGTCTCATGATTATTTAAGTTTTCTGTGCCGTTTCAATACCCTACAAATCACTTCAAATTCACTGACTTTCATGTTTCTTCGGCTGGAACAGTTTACCAATTATGCAATTTCTACATTTCGTTGCCCTTTTTGTTTTCTCACTCAACGCATAAGAGTAAAAGTTTCGTTTTTATTTTTATCATGACGTCATCAAAGCGACAATTTCATTTCAATTTCAAAATTAAGTTTGTAAATAGAATAAATTACGCTGGCACTTGTTACGTCTCGTCGTATTTGGAAGCAAAAAAAAGTTTGTTCCGACTTCTTTTTCTGTCGGTTTAAATAAATAGGACGAGAAAATGAACTTTTCTAATTGTCACTCTTACGAAACGACATCGAAAAAAACAAAATAACCAAAGAAACAATAATATCTAAGCAAAGAAGGGAAGTATTCGATTCACAAAGTACTTCCATCAACAAAGAATGAGCGTGAAGTAAAAGTGAAACGTTAAATATAATTGAATTCACACAAGCAGTAATCAGATTACGGACACAAACAACTTGTAGTCTACTTTTGGTCATGTAGTACAAAAAATATTTAATAGAATTGAATGTGACTATCAAAACCACAAAAAAGGAAACAAACACCAGACGAAAAGGCAAAAAAATAAAGTTTCATCACCGTGAACTTGCCTCTATTTTCGTCTTATCAGCATGAAGCGATGTCTTCACATTCCGTTTAAGATGATTTTTTCTTTTCTGATGACCCAAGGAGAAAAACAAAACATTTTAGTGACAAAAACTTTGTCATCACGTTGTCAATTGGCAAGCAGAAAAAATTACTTTTGTGTGTAAATGATTGTTGTCTCAACCGCTTCAACTTCATTATTTAAGCATTCAACATAATTTTCAGTTGTCATCAGGAATTCGGTTTCTTTTTGCACAATCGTGACGGAATGCTCATTTATTTATAACCAACTATTTCTCGCTTAGACTTTAGGCTTTCAAATTATCATTATTATTAATAAATTAAAGAAAAAGAAAAAAAAAACATTTTTTTCAAAAATTTCTAGATGACGAACATCGCAATTTGTTTTGTTGTTAGAGCTTTTTATTGTGTTAATTTATTAAATGCTTTAACTTACAGCACTTAGACTTGTAACCATGAGGTTATCAATAGAGTTGATATGATCATTAAAGAGTAAACGGAATTTAATCTTTCCACACAACTAAATAAACAAACATGATATAAGTTAGAAATATGTAGAAATGAAAAAATAAATTTTTTTTTACAGAAATCAATTTCACTTCAATTTCGATTCCAATCATTTCTGATTCATAAATAATAAAAAATAAAAGAGAGAAAAAAGTCTGCAAAACGAATTCTTTGCAAAGCAGTTGTTTGATTAAGAAAACACGAATCTAATTCATCAAAATTCTCTAACACATTTGTTTTTTTACTTTTTTTGCACCCATGAACCAAATATCGAAGAATTCTAAAAAGCGATGAAAGACCTCGAAAAAGATTATTTGTGAAATTAAAAAAGCAAAACAAAATAAAAACTGAAATAAATTATTCCGCTCGAATTCGTTTATATTAAAGTACAAAAGCATAAACGCATAATTGCAAGTCAGATGGGTGGTGATTTAAGTAGTTACGTGAGTAAAGATTTCATCTAAAAGGAAGTTTCATCATTTGTGAGTCATTTCCGCAGAAACTAGCCATAAAAGCTTCTTGTTTATCAACGAAATTTACGGTAAAAATAACTTTGACCAATAAATAAATAAAATATCTACTTTTGCGTTTAACTAAATCAAGTTTGTGACAAATAAAAGTTCGCGATAATTTGATTTTTCTTCTTATCGATTACGAATGAAGGCAAGTCAGTTCTAGAGTACAAAAATAAATTTGTTGCGCAACCAATGAAGGTTTTATTTAATCAAAAGCTTTCTTTATTGGATAATTATTAATTAAGTCTACAACTTATTCCTGTCTCTGTTTGTATAAAGCTGACAACAGTTTCGAAAAAAAAGTTCGATTTCCATGACATTATGGGATAAATAAAGGAAAATAAAATCAAGTTTTGCAATAAGAAAACTTTAACAAGAGTAGTCATAAACATGGAAGTAACAATAAATGGAAATGCTCATTATTTAATTGCGCAAATAGCGTAACAACACTAAGAAGTGCTTTGCGGTTATTTTTTTCTTGTAGAAAACAAAGAAAACTGCTTATTAATCAAAACAAATAAAACATACAAAGCGCAGCGTAAAAATGTGCCTGGCGAGAAGTCGTAAATGTTAGTTTTGTTTCAATAAAATATTCGCGATTAAGTAGATAGGTAATTAGTTTGTTTAGATTTCATGAAATAAAAATTTTACAATTAAGTTTGAAAAACTCACCTTAACTTCTTTTGACCGTGTTCGAATGCTCGATTTTCCATCTGGCACAATATTCGCATTTTCAAATTCAACATCGCATGGCGATGGCGGACCCTGAAATTTAGAATCGGAAATGATCAATTGGACGTTGCTTATTTAAAGACAACAAAATTAAATAAACATACCATTTGATATGCATCATCTGGATCAGTTGATGAGTCTAATGTCAAGTCACCTAACAACACGAAACCTGATTCATTCGGCTGGAAAGTAGAAATTGAAAAAATTAAAGAGAATTGCAATCGTATAAGAAACTCAGCGGGTGAATAAGAGAAAAAGAGAAGTTAAACATTCCTTATGTTTATGTTTATGGAAATGATTTCATGCGCATGATTGTTGTGATCAAGAAGAAATAAAACTAAATCGTGTGCGTTATTTTAATTTTGCTTTTTTATATGAAAATCTGATCTCAAATATTTTATTTTTTTATGTAATGTTATTGTCAGAGTTGTTATTTGTATTCAAAATCATTAATTTAAGGAATGAAAATAAAAAGAATTGAAGAAAACTCTTGCATACATACAAAAGCATAAAACATAAACTAGAACCGAAATTTGAACTCATGAACCTCATTTAAAGTAAACAAATACGTTTTTAATGAGATTTGTAAGATTTCTTGAAAATTCTTTTCGTTATTCTATAGATGCAAAGCAGACATTTAGAACCTCTAACAATTCACATGTTCAAATTTAACATCATAGATGGTTGATGAACAAATTTAGTTGCAAGAAATGGGAATTTAGTTCGCGATTCAGCAATTACCTCAATGCATGTACATAAAATATTTCCAAAATATCGTAGAATTTACTGTCGGTAAATTACATATTTACAAAAGCTTTATTTTTTATGATGATGATTGTGCACGCGCGAACGACGAAAGTCGACACATTTGTCACGCGTTGATAATCTCAATCTCGTTATTTTAACCAAATAATTGTCACTCATCTACTGGTGATGTCTTAATTTACCTTATAACGCCGTTAAATGAGATCATCAAAGCATTAGACTGCATCATAACTTCATTACGACTTAACAATCATCATCGAGTGTTTGAAAAATTGTAAATCATTTCAATGCTGTTTGCTTTGCGCATTTGAGCGCCTCTTCTTATCACTATCGATTTCATATTTCCAGAGCAATTTAACAATAACAGCGAACAAAAAAAAATGTTCCACGGTTCACTGATAATCGGGAACACGAAATAAAACAAATGATTTTTTTTTAAAAATTGATGTGAAAGTCTGGCAACGTTTGAAGCCATTGAGGGAAATGTTTTCCGTTTTTCGTATTGCTGTCGAGACATGAAAGAGAAAAAAAAATTGTTCAATTCTTGCTGCTGCTGTTGTTGCTATGTACCGTTGTATCTTCGTCACAGAAGAAAACGAAGAAGCCACTTAAACAAATTTCATTTTTTTCGCTGATATTCTTTTTGCAACCAATCAGCAGCAAAAGTAGAATCAGTAGTCAGCCAACAACACCAGGAAAGCGAATGAAATGAAGAAAACGAGAGAAAGAGGTGATTGTTGCTTTAAGTCTAGCTCTTAAAGAAGATGAAGAAAGTCAAGTAACTTATTTCTAAGCAATAGTTTGAGGGAATTTACTTAACGGGAAATATGTATTAAGCAAATACGGTGTGCTCTCTATACTTAGCAATTATCTTCATTAAATTGTTACGTTTTTTCAATAATTCATATCATATCGTAATCTAATCTTATCTAAAATATTCTGACATCGAGAGAGCACACTGTATTAAATATCCAGTTCTCTAACGAAAATAACATTTGAAGGATTAAACAAAAAAAAAGTCAAATTAAACTGAACGAAACGGTAAAAGAAATGTTTCTGTTAGCAAATGAGAATTTTTCAAATCACACGACACTTCTTAATGTTATTAACTCACCTTTGGTAGCTCTCGCCTTCGTCTTAGAATCAAACCATCATGTTCAATGTAATCTGGAACATCTTTTCGATCGCTGAAGTTAAATACAATTGTATTAGCTGTGTCATCATTGTTTTGTGCTGACCACGATTTTTTTTTCACTGTCCATTTTGGTGTTGCTGTTTCTTCTACTACTTTTGACTGTTCTGATGAGTCAACAGAATTCTTAGAATCAATGGAGCTTTTATCATTGCTGTTATCACGTGATTGTTGTGATTTCATGATGTAGGGTGGTGGTGGCGGTGGGGCTTGAGTTGGCTTTGTAATCACAAAATTCTCTTTCACAGTTTTCACATCAACATTTTTGTTATCAGCTGGTAATTTCTCGTAGTTGAACTTACCGTTGTTTGTGCCGATATTATTATTGATTTTTGGAATGAAACTCAATGTCTTCGACTCATCTTTAACACTTTTCGTATCACTTACACTTTCCACATTACTACTACTACTGCTTTTATTAATATTATTATTTATATTATTTCTGTTGTTGTGTATGTTATCACTTGCGTCCTTATCACCACCGTTCATCATATCAGGATCATCGATAAGTTTAAGCAGATTATTACTTTTATTGTACGTTTTGGGCGTGGACGTCGTCTCCATATGAAGATTATTTAATTTACTTGAAAGTGACGTTATGATCGGCGATGTTATAGTCGATGAAGTAGATGACAAGTCTTGCTTTTTAGTATCATTAAGTTGTGGTGACATCGAGTTTCTGAAAGGTGATAAAACAGTTGGTGTTGATGATAAGGATGATTCGGAAAGTGCTGGTGAATAATCCAATTTCACATTACGATAAGAATCCTTGTTATCAGCTGGTGACCACGATCCATTTGATTTTGTTTCCAAATTATTCTTAATGATATTTATGTCAAGCTTTGGCAGTACAGTTTTTTCTTTTGAAAATCTTGCAAACTTTTCGTTGTTATTCATTGCTGTTTTACTGCTGTTATTATTGTTGAGATGGTTGAGTGTCTTGGGACTAGTGGTACGTGGAATGATATTTGGCTTTTTAGCAGCAATCGGTGGCTTCTCTTGTTGATTCTTAAACAAAGCAACTTTATTTGCAATTTCCTGGCCTATTGGACGTGTGACTGGACTTCTTTTCTTATTTGCTGAAGTTTCAAAAATTCTCATTGTTTGCTTACAAATTCCTGGTGGCGGTCTTTCATCATCATCGATTAATGACATTAGCCGTTTTGGTGCTTGAACCTGTGGCCGATCGCGAGCATTTTGAATCTTATCTTCAATCGTGACGTCACTGGAATTTCGATTAGAGCTTTGCTCTTTGTGATCCTTTTGTATATCACGCTCCCAAGCTGTATGATCATATCGAAGGATGGCTTCAACTGAGCGTGCTCTTTTTAAATTTAAAGATTTGTCTATAGACCGACTTGCACGCGTAATAAGATGGTGTCCATCTGTAGGCGGCGGATAAGATTCGGTCAATGGTTTCTCAATGCCATTTGCATTGTGGTTTTTCAGGTTTTTTGCAGGCACAATGATATTGCCATTCACTTCGTATGCCTTTGTTTGTGAACCGTCACCCACAATATGATGCTGTTCATCCTGATCATTTTCCTCTGTTTCTTCATCCAAAAGATTGTTCAGACTTGTGGAACGTCTCAGTTGAGCAAGTGAAGGTCGTTGCTTAGATACCGATGTCTGACGAAGAGTCAAACTTAAATATCGATATCTTAACTTGCTTACAAATCCTGGACCGTATTTCAATCCAACTCCATTCTCATCAACCTCCATTGTTTGTTGAGTTTGTGTTTCATTCACAATTTCCTGCTTTGCAGCAACCATTTTGTTACGATGACTCACAAAATTGTCCTCAATATGATATGCGTTGCCGTCTAACTCAGGCGAATTGTTTTTATCAATTTCGATTGAAATATTGTCGTTCAACGAAGTGTTTTCCTGAAAATATTTATTACTTTTTAAGCGCGACTCATTATTATACACGAATTTATGTTTCAGTTGTGTGTGGCTCTGCGGTCCGATTGAAACTGACTTCGTCGGCGAGTTTATTGTTGTTGTTTCTGTTTAGAGACGAATAAGAAGAAGCAATTTGAAAATATCATAAAGCAAAGAAGAAAAAACATCAGCAAATGTTTATGTTAAAATATCTGAAAATTGGCACTTTTTGAGAGTTTTTGTAAGCCCCTGATATAGCAAACACTTATAGTTAGCAAAATAAATAGAGTTTATTTCACTGAATTACCCCTCTTCTCGAACAAGTTGATTTTTTGAGCCAAAGACATTTTTTTCCAATCAAGGAAATAAACTTAACTTTAATGAGTTTTTGAACACGCCCAAAAAAATTCAAGCTGTTCAGAAGTTAAAAAATTCAGGTAATAATTCAAACGTCTTTCTAACGAACTTAACAAGTTAAAGTAATATTATAAAACAATCTATTGAAAAACGATTTTTGATTTGTTTACATTTTTTTAAATGTTAAAGTATCTAGGTAGGTATATTAATATTTTTATATTTTTGTTCCGTATCTAGTTTTCTCATTTGTTTTATAACGTTACAAAGTATTTAAATAAAGACTAAAACAATGGATATTGCATTAGAAAAGAAACTCTCAGGATTCAAGCAGATTGCTCTAGAAAAAGTAAATTATAATTGAAGTTATTTGTACAGCTGTTATTAAAATCAAAAATAAATAATACTTTTCATGTTTATTTTAATTCCAGCTCGAAAACATTCTCCTTACTATCCTTGGAAAGAAAGATTTGGTGATATCACCTGATCTAATAAGAATCTTAGATTCCTTTGCAAATATGACTTGGTTAAAGTATTTAACAAATCTTTTTGTTTTATGACTTCAAATTATTTAAATTTCGTTTTTTTTAGATCAAAAGGATTTGATCGGATATTTAAGCTATCATCATCACCACCACCTAAAACAAAGGTTCTTGTGTTCATGATTCAAGCTGATCTTATAACTTTCAAATATGTCTGCGATCAAATTAGTTTTCTCAAAGATAAACATTCAAGTTTTGATCCGGGAGAAGTTTTAAAGGATTTCCATATTATTGTCATTCCAAATTTATTTTTTACATTCCAAAATCTTTTAGAAACAGAAGGACTTCATGGAATTGTTGAACTTCATAGATTTTCATGGGATTTTATAAAAATTGATCGAAATTTGTTATCTTTGGAATTACCACAAGTATTTAAAGAAGTTTTTGTTCGAAATGATAAAAGTCTTCTCAGCTCAATTGCGTCATCCTTAAGAATTTTTAACATTGTTCATGGTAGACCAAAATTCATTGTCAGCTATGGGGAAAATTCTGACAAAATTCTTTCAATGGTAAGTCGAATGGAAAGTATGAGAAAAAGTTCAGCAAAAGAAAAACAAGATTTTCCTGATTTTCATGCAATGATTGTGATGGATCGCAACAAAGATTTCCCATCATGTTTACTCACACCTGTCACTTACTCTGGTTTAATGGTTGAGCTTTTCGAAACGAAAGCTGGAATTCTTTCGATCGAAAATGAAAGCAACAAAAATAAAAGTGGAAAAATTAACATTTTAAATGTTGAGAAAGATCAAATGAACGATGAAAAAGATATTAAGACTTTGAGAATGTGTGGCAATTCTGATGAAATTTATACCACAAACAAATATCGTCACTTTTCCGAAGTCGTCAATCTCATCAAATGGGAATCAAAGAATCTAGAAGGTGAAAAAAATAAGTACTCAAGAGACATGAATATTGAACAGATGAAAGAATTTGTTGAAAAAAATCTCCCAAAAGTAGCAGCCCAAAAGAAAATTCTTTACAAACATCTCGTAATTTGTGAAAAAATTGTTCAAGAAATGAGTGGAAATTTTGAAAGACAACAAAATATTGAAGATACAATCTTAAGAAATGATAACAAAAAGCAAATACTGAACTACATTCATGAACAACTTTACACCAACGCTCATCAATATAACATTTTATGTTTGATTTGTTTACTTCACATATGCGTGGGTGGATTGAGTAGTGATGAAGTTAACAAGTTTGTAGGCGGTTATTTGAATACTTTCGGACACAAGCATCTAGAAATGTTTCAAGGACTAATGAAAGCTAAACTTTTTCCTGACATCAATCAAGTGTCTTCAAAGAACCTCATTGGTATTGCTCAATCGACAATTCCAAAGAAAACTCAATTTCAAATTCATGCTGGGAAATTAAAAATGATTCCTGGTGATGAAATTGGTTCTACTGCTGGTCCTCCTATGGCATGTCCTAGTTATGTATTCAATGGAAATTTTATTCCACTTGTAGTGCAATTAGCGAGTGCTCTTCTTCAAGCAAAAGATGCAACAGAACTTTTATCTAAAGTAGGACATCTCGAGCAGTTAAAACTAACAGGAAGTTTCATTGGCGACGATTTGGAGCCATTTAAAGATGCCGTTCTTTCAAATCTTAAAATTCTCCCAATCAAACCTAGAACACTTTTCATATTTATTGTTGGCGGTGTGACTTATGCTGAAACTGCTGCATGTAGTTTAATTGAATCACTTACTGGCTCCACAATAGTTTTAGCGTCAGATCAAATTACAAGTGGAATTGATTTGATGAAAGCTGCAAGTTGATTTCTTATTTAAAGAAGTTTCTTAAGATATTTGAAATGCTATCATACTTAAACATATCAAAAGCTAATAAAGCTAATGTTGACCCATGAAAAATTAATTAAAGTAATAAATAATGACAAGAGAAAAAGCCTTTAATAATTTTATGTGTTTTTTATGTAGTTACGTGATGAACTTCAAATGTTGATTCATAAAAGAAAATTAGTGCTTTCTTGCCACCTCTGTGGTTCTCATCATTTATCTCATGATTTTTCATGCTTTATTCGTGACACTTGCTATTGTGTTCAAGAAAATTTCAGCATGATAAGACATGAAAGAATTGCGTCGTAATAATTTCATGGAATTAATTTTCAGACCATCAGAAGTCTCAATTTAACGATCCATTTGGACGAAAAGAAAAGCGAGAGAAATATTAGCAAGGAGATTATTTTTCCATAAAATGTGCTTCTTCTTCCTCAAGATATCTAAAATTTATTGCAGGATATTTTTTTTTCCATTTGTGTCTATGATTGACTGGAAATTATCGAAAGAATAACCAATGGAAGTTCGAAGGAATATTCCTTAAATGAAAATGCATTTTCCGTAATGGAAAACACGAAGTGAGCTTTGGGAAAACTGGAAAATTATTTTTTCTTATGGAGAAATCGAAAAGCACTGTCGAACAGAAAATCATTCTTGGAGCTGTCTGTCGCCGAAGCAATTTTGCTTCTTTTCTCTCACTTCGTAAAAATATTTGTGTCGTTGTCGTTGTCGATGAAAAATCATGGAAGGAAAATGAAATTTCGTCTTGATAACGATAATTTATCTCATCACATTTCTTATCATGGAAGGCTTCAATTTCTTATTTTTTTTTCTCACTTCGTTGAACGAAAGAATGTTTATTGCAAGTCGTGTATGTGGTTCTCTTTGCCTAACTTTAACCTCACACTCCATTCATTGACTATGTACATGAGAAAATATGTATTTTTAGAAACGATAGATGGAATCAAGGAGAAAATCCTTCTTATCAATTCCTTCCCGACCATAAGACCCAAAGGGAGAGAGATTATGGAGTCGATTGGACAGACTTTACTGCCCCATCGCTTCACTTGATTTCTCTTCTAATGATAACAGATCGGTCGTCATAATTTCTCTTTTCTCCTCTTTTATTCCTTTATCTTGCCTATGACGATGTTCAAAAGGATCAAGTTAAGATTTCTTTTTCTTTCTTATTGATGAAAATATATTTTTATTTTAAAATTTTTCTTCTTTCTTTCTCTCTCTCTCTCTCTCTCTGTCTCTCTCCCTCATTTTCTCCTTTGTATTGAAGAAAAAGCTATTTCAATTTAAGTGTGGCAATAATTTTTTGTTCCAATGATCATCCGCAAAGGGCAGAAAAGAAAAGTTAAGGAGCCGTTATTCAAACTTGAAAGGCCTATACATTTGAAGTGAAAAATCATAAACTTTCTCATAATCCTATATCGTTGAAAGTTCAAAACGATTTCTTTCTGATAATCGTTATGATTCGTATGATATTTTTTTGCTTTTTGCAGCAAAATCAATTCCTTCACTGTTTTTCCATTTCAGTTTCACCCCAAAACGGGTGAATTTTCATCACGTAATTTCCATTAGATGGTTCACATGGCGATAAAAACAATAAATAAACATTTCATGTCTCGTTTAGATTCGCCCAATGCAATGTCTTGGAATAAAAGAAGGAAATCATCATGACCCTGAATTCGTGACTGTCTTTCCCTCTTTTGATTCACTAAAATGTTTCTTTCATTCAGCCTTAAAGGTATAAATGGAGAAGTGTCAATGATGAATGTCAGCGGGTATAATATTCAGTGAAAGGTTCGTTCGTGGCAACTGTCCGATTCTATATCGGGCGACGGTTTCAATTCTTTTGGGCTTTTGGATCTGACATGACTGTCAATCTTATTTATTAAAACGACATAATCTAATCGTCTGTGAGTAACACGTCATGATGCCGTCGTGTCAATTGTGAATCGCCACTTTGTCTCGATACTTTAACAATATTTTTAACTTATCTCGAAATGCTTTTCCCTTACATTAACTTCTTCAAAACATTTCATCTCCATCTGGGGACGTAATAATCAGCATAATAAACAAACATTTCGTCAACAGCGACAAATCTACCCTTAAAGAGAGGGCCAACAACAATGAGAATCTTTTCCGTCCATTTCCTAGTAGCCACGCCATCAAAAAAAGAAAAAAAGAGAAGCAATGCGAACGTAAGGATATAATTACTATGTTGGCCTCTTAAGTGCGTATCATCAAAGCCAGCCGCTTCATTGCCATAGCGCGCAGTAGCATCATTTTGCCCTCCACTCGACTTCTTTGAGTAACAACAAAATAAGATAGAGAAGACGAAGAACTGGCCATAAAACATTAAATGGAATGTAATTGAAATTGGATGGCTCGTCCCCCACTCACCACTCCAACCACGTCATAAGAATGAGAACAATATAAATGGACATTCCTAAAGGGGGGGCTTTAACATCACTTAAACTAGTTCCATCATCATGAGCCAAAGGCAAAAGATATCGAAAGAAAACGACAAACACAAAGACTGTGAAAAAATGACCATAATAAATAAACAATTAAATAGCTTTGAATGAAGTAAAGGGCGAAAGAAACTGAAAAGCTGGGGAGGGAAATAAAGAAAGCAAAAAGTGAGAAAAAAAAGTAAGAAAGGAGAGAGAAAAGTTTGAGCAGCAACCAAGCAGTAACCGATCTGAGAGTAAATATAAATGTTGAAGTAATTTTTCGTCCACAAATTATACGGTTATGATTTCCTATCCCCGAAGCTTCATCGTAATCGTTCTCCTGTATTCGTTTATCTTTTTTTTTATTCTATATTCTTTCACCGTTCCGTCGAATCATGATTTTTCTGTTCTTTCTTCCTGTCTCATCTTAAGCTCGTAATCATATGAGTTGCGGCTTTGTTTATAAATTGTGCTGGGAAATTACGTAATTTATTGACTCAGCCTTAACGTGAAATGAATGAATAAAAAGCTCTTCCTGGTTGGGTCGGACGAGAACGGATTTGAACATTGTCGAAATTTCCTTTTTTCTTTTTGATGGAAAAGGAAAGGGAAGAATAATTTTAGGAGGAAGAAATGAGGAACCTAAAGTCAACAGCAATTATTCAATTACACATTCTACGTTACGCTCTATGGAAAGTTAAACATTCATTTCAAAGCATGAACATGTCAAGAAGACAGAAGAATGCGAATACCATGAAAATGACGCCAAAAATGAAAATATTCATAATGAAACATTGCTGATGCATGACATAGCTTTAAATTTATGAATTATGTGTGCATAGAGAACAAAAAAAGTTTTTAATCTTTGCAAGATTATCACATGAGATGAGGACAAGGAAAAATTTATCACTTTATAAATATGAAATGGAAAAGCTTAGTGAAGCAGTAAAAGTTTGGAAAATCTTTTAGATACTTAAATTACCGATTGAAATTATGATTTCTTCTTCAAATAAACTTTCGAATCTGAATTTAATACTTCGAAAAAAATCTGACTCAAAAAATTTAATGAAAAGGTTGTAGTTCAAATAATCAGCTTTTCAACTTCCGAAAACTCCCAAAAGTCCCTTTTTTAGCGAGCGTTATTTTCTTCTATCAAGTATTTTGATTTCATTTTTCTCTCCTTCATTTTCGTGGAAAGCTCAGGTAGAAAATGCAAAAAAAATCAACTCACCTCAAGTTGCAAGCTTCGTTAAATATTTTGAATTTTTCTCATTCCTCATTCCACTTTAAATTGAACTTTTGAATTATTCAAAATTTCATCTCCAACAAAATTTTGGACACCGTTGAGTTTTACACGATATTTTCCATCAGAAATTCATTTTAAAAATATTTTATCATAAAATAAATAGGATCAATGGAAATTAGATTTTGTAACGAGCAACACGTGTAGTACAAATTCGAAACCCCATAGGTTTTATTCATGAGTGCTACTCTCACAAGAAAAATAGTTAAAGGCAAGGAAAAAAGCTTGCCTTCGTCTTTTACGTCTCTGTAAACAATTTTTTTATGATTATCGTGCGATGAGAAAGCGGAGTAAGCAGAGTTTAAGGTTGACGGCGAAAGAAGCTGTAGACTGTAGAAAAAACAGAAAAAATTCTCACACTGTTCTGAGAATTATGAGATCGGACCCGACCGATGTGAAAGTTTCAAGGAGTTTTTTATGAATCGGAATTAAAAGTTATAATGATCCCTTCATGTTTCTGACATTCGCTCGGTTGTGCAGCAACACAAGTTGAAATAAGTTCCACCAATGCTGTGAAAATTTGCTGTTCAATAAAGATTAATTGGATTATGAAACTTTCGTCTCAAAGATCTCAGATGCATAATTAATAGAATTTAAAAAGGTTCACTGATCATTGACTTGATGAGTTTAAAAATAAAAGTTTTTTAATCGATTTGCCGCGTCGAATGAGTTAGTAAAGTAAAATAAATTAAATGATGTGAAACATGATTCGCTAGAGTCTTGAAACTCGCAATTAAATTTAAGATTTTGTTTGCACATCTTATAACTTTTTTATAAATCTGAATTCTCTTCTATGCCAACGAAAGTTATATAAAGAAAATTTCAATTTTCTCAGATTCTTCTTTAAAATCGCCTCAATGCTTTGTTCACGCAGGTTGGCTCTGCTTGAATCTAACAAACAAGATGAAGAATTAAAAAATAGAAAGTTCTACAAGAGAGCACGAAGTCTTTTAATTTCAATGAGAGATAAAATGCTTTAAACTATTTTACAGTCTTAATTAAATTAGCTAATTAGTTGATACCGACCTTGCAAAGCTAAGTACGAGTTTACAAACTCTAAGGTGTTCTTCAACTCACAGAAATATCATAGGATAAAACAATGAAAAGAAACAAAAAACTTCAATGTTTTAATCTGTTAAATAACCATTTTAATTCATAACTAGCTTGTATCTTATTTCTTTTTTACAAATTTTTCTCTCATTATCTAATTGTTTCCTTTGTTATTCTTAACAAGCGGAAGGCAAAACTTTGAGTGTAAATCTGTAAAGAAGTAAGAAGTTTTGAGTGTCGAAGCCTTTAAAAGGTCCATGATTGCAATAACGAAACAAGAATTTAAATGAACTCACCAGCAATAAAACATGGACAGAGCAAGTAAAAAAAAAAGAATAAAGGGATTTAATAAGTACAGCTGCCACTTTTGGAATATTTTTAATTATTCCAAGTAGTTTCCATCTCTAACTTTAGAAGTGTCAGGAACAATTTTCTCCCTTTCCAAAATATAATAAAAATAAATAAAAACTATTCTTTAATGTCGCCAGCATTTTTTTAATTGAACGTAAGTGAGACAGAGCGACACAGAACAAGAAAAATGACAAATTTTTATATTTCCATGAAAATTATTTTCTTAGTTTTCTTTTACACAAGAGCTCATTATAATCCAAATATCTAATTGAAGAAGAGAAAAGTAGTGGGAAAATTAAACTTATATTTTGGGCATTTCATTTATAAAAGAAAATTTAACCGAAATAACCTTCTGGACACGTTCCACAATTTTTTGTAACAAACATATTTTCATTTTCCGAAAGGAAGTAAAGCTTTGAAGACTGTGAAAATGTAGCAAACTTTCATATGAAACGACATCCAACCATTTTCATTATGTTCTTTTTTATAACAAGCTTAAGAAACAAACATTTAATTGAAGATGAAAGGAAGCGTAAGTTAAAAGAAGATTGCATAGCATGGAAACTTTCTAAACTGCAATGAAACTCCAACGAACGTCTCGTATCTTTCGGATATGCAATTTTGTGCAAAACTGAAAATTTCCCTTTCTTGAAAGTTCGTAATACAACCGTTCGGAATTGACAAGTGAATTAACCTGAAACTTGACATTTTGATTGATTATTTTATACATAGTAAAGTGTTGACAAGTAAAATTAAAAACTTGAACAACAAATGTTTGAGTGACAGGTACAAAAAGTTTTTTTTGTTGTTATAATTCTTGACTTTGTCAATTTCCAACACTATTTCAAGAATGTTGAAAATAAAAAAGCTAATTCTAAGATAGGATATCCTTGAGTGTTTGCTGTGCAAATTTTATTCAGGATATGCAATTTATGAATGCTTATAAAAGCAGTTAAAATTTCAACATCAATTCAGAGTGTTGAATGTGTTAACCACAAGTCAATTTTAAACTTTTTAAGTAAACCTAATTAGCTTATAAAGTTACATTTAGAGAGAAAAAGTTTCACCTTATGTTGAACCTTTTAATCTAATAATGTTGCCATTATATGAAAATGTTGAACTTTGACTTTGTTGAACTTTTCAAGCGTTTCTCTATCAAGGAATATAAAAAAGAAGCTTTTAAAATTTAAAGAAATATAACCATAATTGTAACAAAATGTATGCTGTTCACTCAATATTTGAATTTCCTTTTCACGATTAATATGCATAGAGACTGTTTTCCAAATTTTCCGGTTAATTTATCTAATTAAAAAATTATTCTCATTTGCTTTGAGAAGGAAATTCTTGAAATGAAATATTCTGATATGAAACAAGAACAAAATTGAGAGTCTCGTTGACAAATTTAAGATTTGGTTCTACATAAGAAGCGCTACCACATCAGCAAAATTGAAATTTCATGACTGTTGTTGAAAGCTTTTAAAATATTATTCTTGCTCTGTAATAACCAGAGTTCCACCATGACAACTTATGGCATATCGTTTGACATATCTCGTGAAGAAAAAGAAGAAATCATAACATCGTTGTTTGATTCGAAACAACTCAAACTGAAGCATGCTCATGAAAATCCGCATTTGTCTTTTTCAATTGGTTTTTAAGCGTGGACGTAACTCATGAGAGAGAGAGCAAGTAAAGTTAATTAATTAAAAGCTTACGCAAGGGATGAAATGATATAAAAAAGAGGTCATAAACTCATTTTCAGCATCATTCGGTCTTATTCTCCTTTTTTTTATCTCTTGACAGTTAGTAATGGTGTATCATTTTTTAAGTGAAAATGTTTAAAACGCATACTTCTTGTTCGACGATGTAAGGTGGATTGTGTATTTAAAAATTAATGAAAGTATGGAAACTTACATGAGTAAAGTTATGTCTTGAAATTTTTGAAATTTTTCACTCCACTAACTTCTGCTAATTGAAAGTTTCTTCATGCGAGGAGACTCAAGAGTGAAAAACAGTGTTTTTACAACGGATATCCCTTAGGTGATGAGAACTAAACTTAGTTCTCATTTACTTTTAAAAACTTACTCTTAAAATAAATTATTCAAATGACAACGACAAATTAACGACAGCTTTGAATAATGTTTCATCAAGCTTAGAAATGTTGGAATGTTGAAGAAATAAATTGAGTTATGTTACGTTTTCCCTGTTTTTCGCAACATAAGCTTGCTACTCGAGAGTAAAAACAGAAAAATATTCTAGACCGAGCGGCAACTTATTTATACTATAATCACGAAATATGCATTTTATATAATTTGTTTCTAAAGAAAATAAAGATGGAAAAATGCTTCACAAAATGCACAAAATCCAATTTTAAACTTCGAAAAACAGAGAATAATCTACACAAGTAGATTTGAATAAGCAGACATCCACTCGACTCTTGTTGCTTCTTGGTTTTCAATAACACGCTTTGTGAAGGGTTCTTAATCATGCTGAGTCTTATTTTCGATCAGAATTTAAAATTTTGACTTCCTTTCTACCCCTTAATTTCAACCCCTCATCATTTCAACCTACAATTATTTATTGGGTAAATTGATTTCTAAGGAAACATCAAATTTCGAAGCTTACATTTGAAATTTTAAAATGGCTTTTCTTCTTTTTTTCTTCTCTCATTCATAACCTCACGATCATTTCTCATTTTGACTTTTTCCACAAAAAGAGTTAATCCCGGAACAAACTTGCATTAGCATTCAACTTTAGAGAAAAATCAACAGATAAGAAAGAAACATGAAAAATCCCAAACATTTGTTACGTGTTTGGACTAAAACTTCAACGTAGCAAATGAACTTCGTCTCATTCACAGAAACCGTTCGTAATATATAAGTGAACATCTACCAGAAAATAAAGTTTCTTTATCACAGAAACAGAAAGAAATCGTTTATGCACTCTCTACGCTTCGTGGGAAAATTGTGTACTGTTGTCATGGATATTTCCTTTTCTTTACATTCTGTTGGCCTTGTCTTAACTTTCCACAGCCATTTACTGCCTTAAAACTTCGTTTATCGTTCGCATTCCACAAGCGAAAGTGTTTGTTCTCGCTAATGTATCTTTAAATGGCAGCATCTCAGGGTTATCGAAGCGTAATAATATTTTTCCGTTACTCGATGTGTTCGAATAAATATCGTGCCGCAATAAAACATATCGATAGCTTTGGAATTGATACTGTTTGAGTTTCATTCTAGCGTTCCGTTAAGCAACCGCCTTCCCGTTCTTTTTCTTGTTAGCTTACATTTAGGGATCGTACAGTGTGTTCGCATAAATAGGATTTGCTTTCTTTTTATTTTTATTGTTCCTTTCTAAATCAATGCCTTCTTTAAATGGCGAAATTTAGCTAGGGAACGATGAATAAAAACGATGGAAGGTTACAAGTGTGAAAACCTCTCACAAAGCTTCCGCGAAATTGATCATAAAGAGAACAACATGTGGAATGCTAAAAAAAATTTGATAACTCATGAGCTTTTAAGCATTCACATTTGATTTCAGTGATTCTAGAATTTAACTCAATCTATGGTCGAATGCGAATATCACGTCAGAAAGATGTGTGAACATTTTGATTTATACTTCTTTCTGTCTTTCACTTTTCTTCAACATCAACATTTCATCCTCTGCTGACATGTGTGATATTATACAACATTAAATGAAAAAATATCACCTTACAATTTTTTCCTTCTTTCTCTCTCTTACATTTTTGTTGCTTTTCTCGGGTTATAGTTTTTACATTACCATAAAACATATAAAACACAGTGACGTCGACACAGAAAATTCAATATTTAAGCAAAGGAATTGAAATGTTTTCTTACACACAAAACATACGAACTCGATTTTTGGCGAATTGTTTTCTTTCTTTGTTCTTCTTTCTATATTTATAAAGAATTGCTTTCACCAATAGAAAACAGTAATGCGATGAAACGAGAAGGGAAAAAGGAAGAAAAAGGAAAATTCTTATTTCAGGGGCAATATTAAGTTCCATTGAAAACACATTTGCATAAATTTCATTGCCCTGAGAGGAGAAATACAAAAATATCATGTTTTATGTATTAATTTTGAAACGAATTTGTATACTGGATTGTATTTTTACTTGAACTGAAACGGGTGAATGTTCCTTGTCCCACAAGGGATTGAATGAGTGAAAGGAAATGGAATCAGGCGTCACATTTCACGACAATCCGTTTATTGCTGAAATTTCCATACAAATTCTTTGGCTTTCCACAAGTTTTCTGAAAGGTAAAAACACTTTTCACTCACAAATGTTTAGTCATTGTTTGATTGGTAGTTTGCATTCCAAATTGAATACGAATGGATTTCCATAAGAATAAGAATGCAGTGTCATCAAGACGATACTAAGAGATTCTTTAAACTTGAAACCTTCAACTTACGAAATGATCGACATGTTTCATTCTGAGTTCAAATACAGTTACGAAATCTTAAAGAAGACAAAGACATAGCTGAATTAATTTGAAGTTTCAATGGCATGAGCATCTGGGGAGTCATATAACTGCTATATACTTCAGTTTATCACAAGTGAAATATATCTCTTGAACGTTGTTGAACATATCGAAGCGTTCATTCAATTTGACTTGTAACAGAAGAAACTCTTTCTTTGAAACAGAATAATAAGAATTGTCGTGTCGTTTTCTTTCTTCTCTCATAAATGTAAATTTGAGATAAAATTCAAATACATATGTATCAAATATATATACTCATACACAAAATGATAAATAGTAAGTCAGTTGAAAAACTAATCTATTTGAACGGAATTCACCAATATGCAATTATTTTGTTTATTTTATGACTTTTTGTTGCCACAAACAATGTCGTTCAGAAAGAGGTATAAAAATATTAAAGCCAGTTTTTAACTATTTACATACATACATTCATCGCAAACAACATACAAGATTCACCTTTAATATTCTTTTTTCCATTTTTAATGCTATTTTTAAGATAGAAAAGAAAAATCATGTTTCATTCTTCCATTTGCCACGATATATGGCTTTATAAATTTATGGCATGACGCAAATTTTCATGTGCATATGAAGCCGTTTGTTGCGGGCGGATCAAAAGCAAAATAAAAGTTTTGATAATTCGTTTTCTCAGTTCGAAACCACCCGACAAATCCTGTCTCTCTGAGATGACCAAATACGTGGGAAAATTTCTTTTTTCAGGGATGAGAATAAAGAAGTAAAAAATTGTTTCACTATTGAATTTTCACTTTTTTTTTGCAAATGTTATAAAAGAACTATGTACGTGTTGTCTTCTTGCAACACATCTTTTCACAAAGCAGAAAACATAAATTTACTTTTTTTTGGCGCAACGTCCGTTCATTGAAGCACACACCAGGGGTTGCTAACCATAAATTTATGAAATGAAATCAATTTGAAGTTTATTTCTTTGTTTCATATTTTTTTGTGGATATTTCATGCTGAAAAATTTATACAAATATGATGGAAAGGAAGTTAAAGTTATTAAAAACTCTACTGATTTATATATTAATCTCACATACTGACTGTTTGCACGAGTAATGAATTCTCATAAATTAATTTTATTCTTCGAAATATTTTTTGTTTGTTTTCCAAAAAATTTTTAGTGTTTCAAATTTTAATTTTCCTGATTTTGTGAACTTCAGCGTTTTGCTTCGCGTTCAAGCCTATATCTATATTGGAAAAATAAAACATGAGAAAAGTAAAGCGTATCGGCAAAAATTTGAATAAAAACAATAAATAAATTATCTAAAGGGGAACAAAGGAAAAGCTTTTCAAATTGAATAAAATAAAATGACGAATTTATATTCAAAGATATTTTTTAATACATAAAATTAAAAATTATATAGAAGAAGAAAGAATAAATAAATGGTGGGTGAAAATAAAATAAATAAATAAATAAAAAATAAGGAAATTGAAAAATAAATTCAACAAGAAAAAGTGCTTTTTATAATTTACCAAATGATTACGTACACAAAACTTTGTATATATATGTATCTGATGGGCTTTAATGGAGCACGAAAATGAAGTCTTTTTTTCCCTTCGTTTTCATTGTTCGGAAAATTTAAATTGGAGATAAAAGTGGAAATGGAGGATGAGTGGAATTATTTCCTTTTTAATTTTTATGGTTTCCGCATGAGCTAAGAAATCAGTATTTTGGAAAGCGATGATTGCGATGGAGAAGAAATTCAACAAAAAGGCACACGTTGTATGCTAGATCTAAATCAGCAATCTTACAGTTGAACGCCAATAAGAGTTTGAAATTTGCAATTTTCGGGTATTTTATTTAATTTTCATGATTTCAACCCTAATATTGATCGGTTATTTTTCGATCAAACCTCATCAAATTAGATTATTCTCTCAAATCAAATTATATTCTGTGATTTAATTACGATTAAAAAAAGTTCCAACGTGCGTCCCTTTGAAACATTTTTTTTAATATTTGATGAATTATTGAATTTTTTTTCCTTGAAAATGTTTTTAAAGGTTCTAGGAATTTAGAACACATTCAATCATATAATTCAATTTTCATTGCTGCAGCATCCTGTAACAAAGTAAAAATAATTAATTCAAACAACAAAGACAACTTTTAAAACAGTTTAAAGTCAAGCTTTTAGCTCTAGATTCATATAAGTTCATCATTTCATCATCCACTTTACTTAATACTCTTTTTCTGCTAGATTATTTTTTCAATAGTCGCTTTGATAGCTAAAAGTTAAATTAATATCCTTTAATGATATTTGGTGGTTGTTTGTTCAAACAACGGAAATGTCATATGATAATTGGAAAAGCAAATTAATTTTCATCTTCTGAAATCGAATTTACATTTTTTTAATTTGATTATGATTCATCAATCATCAATCATATATCATCAATCGATTAAGATTTCGTTTCCATTTGACTTAATTATCTTTTTGTTTTCTTATCTCTTTGAATGATTAAAATTTATTCCATTAGTTCTTCATCATCAGACTAGGGTTATGACCAGTACACTGAATAAACTCTTCCATTAGTTATTATAATGACCACTTTAAGTCATTAAAAATGTATCTTTGAAAAGTTTTTATAAATTTGAAAATAAATTTGAAAAATCCTGAGTGTAAAAAATTACCTACCTAAAATTTGAAAATAAAATGTAATTTAAATATGAATTTAATTTAATGATCATCATATACATATATTCTTAATGTCACTGTATCATTATTTTTTTCTTCTTATTTTGTCATACACAATCGAATCAAATGAAAAAGGTAGCATTAGGAATTTTTGTGTTTCAAAGCCCGAAGATGGAAATTTAATTTTGTTTTCTTTGATATGCAAAATTTGTCGAGGATTTTTTTATCAGCTTTAAATGCTGTAAGAAGAAAATTACATATTTTGAGCAAAAATAGCATCCTTATTGACTTTTCAAAATAAAATATCGGTTTGAACGGCAAAACTATTTTAATTGTTTCTAACTTCAAAGCTCATTTCAAGTGCTTTTTGTGACAATTTACAGAACAAAATTTTTTGGTTATTTCGATTGTGTTTTACAGTTTAAACATTTTAATTGAAATTTAATCGTAAGAAAATTTGTATTTTTTCTATATTTCTTGCTCTTATTATTTTTTTGTTTTTTATGGTTGCGACGAGATAAAGTATAAAATATACTATAAAATAACTTCTCTCATTATTGCAGATTACAAAAAAAACTCTTCAATGTTGTTAGGTTTTTGTCCTTTGCAATGCAATATTTAACAATATATTCATGGAAGAATCTTAAATTGAAAACTAGCCTCTTGTAAAGTTTTGAGAAAATTTGGTAAAAAAAATTGAATTGAATTCAAAGTTATTCTTAAAACTTGTACGGAATTTAATTAAAATCTTTGAATCATTCTCATTCTAGCTTTGTGATCTTTTATTTAAATATGTAAATATTATTTAAAGTTTCTATTCCCATTCTAAATCTGCCATGACATGTACAATTAATTGCGTAAGTAAATAAATGAAATATCTTTTAAAAGATCCTTTTCATTCCAAGCAAGCATTTAACATTGAATGAATGATAAAGCACAAACGAAGGCCAGATTATAAACGACTAGATAATTTACTGTCATTTTATGCAGATTTTTTCATTCATTTCTAATTAAAATCCGCGACGGGTCCAGAATAATGTCAGAATTTTCTTTCTGTTAACACAAATTTCTCTCACTTAAACAATTTCTTTCCTTTTCCAGAGACCTCCTCTTGGAGTTGAGAATCATGAACAAATTGTGAAGCTTTTTCAACTTGTACATGTGTCTGAATTAATTTGTGCCTTCAGTAAAGAAAAAATTATAGAAAAAGATTGCGGAAGTGTTTTTTTACTGGGTTGGTAAGTATAAAATCATGCTGAAGAAAACTGTTCATCGCCAGGATTATAAATCGTGATAAAGCAACAATAGAACATCAAAAATAACTGGCGAAGTAAAAATTTTTACCCGTAAAAAATGAAGCAAATGCCATCAAATATCTTTTTGTGATTGGCTACGTAAGCTGATTAGCTTAAACCAACAAAAAAATTAATCATTATTCTATTTTACTACATTGCTGCGCTAGATAAACTATTTACGTAAGCTACAAAAGCTGAATACAAACCAAAACATAATTAACATACCATAAATTTTGAATTCACTTTTCACGTTGTGGTTTTTACGACTGACAAGGATAATTCGAATTTTATAAATTTCAACTAGGTACATAGTAAACTTTGACATAGCGCAAAACTTTTCTCATGAATAAATTGGAAACTTTCGGCTGCGCATTTTCTAGGCTGTGTGCAAAATTTATTCAATTTTTTAAAATCTGGTTTGAAAACAATTTTGTAAACTATTCCGATTCTTTTTTAAAAAAAATATTTTCCATTAATCCATTGTTCATTTCACGTAATCTACAATTTACAATCATGAATAAACTTTTGAAACGGGTCCGAGCAATCAACATTTTTTAAATAAATAATAATGAGAAAAAATAAAATAAAAGCTCGCTTCAGAAGCCACTGAATTGGAAATTATATGCGGGTTCAATAGCAATAATTGAAATGAAGCCCACGTCAAATTATTTAAATATCTTCCATTGTTTCCCATTAATGCATGACTGAACTTTTTTTGCGAAACCAAGTGAAGTTTCGATCCTGCATTGATATTTTTTGTGGTTCATTTAATTCTGTGAATAGAAACTGGTTGAATGATTGATTTTTATTATATTTTTCTCACCTTTCAGATTGAAAACAAATCTGCTTATACATAATATGAAAATAAAACCATAAAAAAATGAGCGTAATATCAAACACCGTCGTCATGAATTATTCAGTGAGTCAACACTTTCTGAGAATCACCACCTTTTCGAGAAGTCACAGTTGAAAATTAATAAATGGCAGAATAAATTCACTCACTTGATAAATTTGACAATTTAATGAAAATTCCCCTTTTTGTAGCCCGTAAATTACATTCCATTATATGTCCTAGTTGAAATGATTCATGATTTTAGGTTGCTTCGAAAATTGCAGGTTAAACATGAAAAATAAAAAGCCCTAGGTAGGAGGAAGCACATATTAATTTATATACAGTGGAACTTTGATTAACCGCTACATCGATAAGCCGATATCCGCGATAAGTTCCACTGTATTTAATGAATATGCATTGTGTTGTAATTGCACTCATCATTCTTATTTTTATAACTGTTCAAGAATTAATCATGTCATCAACTAAATTCAATCAAACTAAATTCTTAAACTTTATGTCTTTTTCAGAGTTCGGAATCACTCTGTCAACGAGTTGGTTGCATCAATTTAAGGCTTAAATGAACTTCTCACGACACTAGGCACTGTTTTGCTTAAGTAGATTTCTTAAAATTCGTTTCAAATGATTGTAACTACAAATTCCCTTTATTACAGTTTTAAAAACGTTTTAATTGAGATATGAGTGAGATCATCAATGTTGTAAATTACTTAGAATGAAAAAAGAGTAAAGTTAACATCACTACATTTAAGTACCTATCTAAGTCTACAAACCTGAATCGAGAAATTGAAACTTTCATCTTTGCTTAAAGTTTAAAACGAAACTTTTGATTTCTTCACAGAGCAATATCAAAGAATTTGCACCATAATTTTTCTTCCTCAAAATTTCCGATTTTATTTGAATAATCTTTTGATTCACAAGAAATAATCTATTTTCAGCACTCCTAAAAAGATAACTTAGGACATTGAACTTCGAAAAAGAAATTAAATGTCTTAAGTACATATTATTTCTTTTAGCGTATTTTTTTTAGTAAATTGAAATGATTAATTATTGAAGTTCCTTTTAGCTTTCGGTATCCTCGATTTTCAACTGCATGATTATTAAAATTGCTTTTCAGGTTGTGAGAGGGTAAAGTTTTATTTTTAAAAGTTCCGGAATAAGTGTTATCAAATGAAATTTTTTATTCAAAATTCATACAAAAACCCAAGTGGAATGCAAAATGAGATTTCAAACAACTTTTCGTTGTTCACGGTGGTTTCAAAGTACCAAAAAGGAAAACAAGATTTTAACGAAACAAGTGTATGAAAAAAAAATTGAAGATTTCCTGCTAAACGATAACTGAAAAAAAAGAAAAAGCAATTGTTAGGATTACAATATAATGAAGTAGTAAAAGAAATTGAAGAATTTAAAGACGAAAGTTTTCCTTACTGAAATGCGGTTTTGTGCTCTTTTCCATCTAGGAAATAATTCTTTGATGCTGCTGTCGAAAATAAATTTTAGGTTGAAATGAAACAATTAAGTGAATATACTTGAAATTCTTTTGAAAATAATTCGTATTAATTTGTTGAAAGAGAGAAAAACGGAAAATAAACCAACGTTATTCGTAACGATTATCCAAATCATAAATTCATTCAAGCTTATTCTTCCACTCGTCTGGCATTCGCAGAGATTTGTAAGCTCCAAAGTGTCGATTTCCAAGAGAAGAAAAGTCTTTTCTTTGTTTCGAAAATTACTATATATGTATTAGAAAAAAATTGCGACAAATGTATGAGATTAAGAAGTGTGGAGTATGAGGGAAATGAAGCAAATTAGAAGATAAAAGATTATTTAATTACTGGTTCTTATCTGTCTCTGAAACATTTTGTCATCTAACTTCTCAGGATAATTTTTCCAAGGGAGATGGAATCAATTTATCATATTGCTCTTGAAGATTGTGAAAATTTACGAATTATTTCCATGCATAACATAGCTTAGATAGCATGCATAACACAGCATGGATGAACAAATTAATCTGATTGTACTCAAATATTTCAATATTGTCAATTTTCATTTCAATATTATTTTCGGACTTTCCGTTACCATAGAATCGCAAATCAAACATTTTTCATCATTTTTTCTTAAAGAAATATTTTTTCTTACTACTCAAGTAGCAATATCAACTCTCTCGACATTTCTTATGACATATTTCTGATATATTCAGAAATGCAAAAAAAAAGAGATTGAAGAAACTTTTACTGTAAAAGTTCAATCAGTTATGCATAAACGCACTCTTTTGCCAACTCAAATAGATTTTTCTTCAATTCACATTCGTTCACTGTCTTTCTTTATGTGATTTAAATGATATCAAACTTCAATTTTCCATCTGCAAAAAGAAAATATGATCAATCTGATAAAGAAAAAGTTTTAGATGAAAACTAAGAAAAATCTTTTGAAAATTTCAAAAATTGATCATTTACCAGAGAGTTCTTCTATCCATTTGAATTTATGTACAGACACATATATACATAATTCACTTTACATTACATGTATGATGAACGAGAACGATGAAAATTGAGGTAACGGAAAAAAAAGAATATAAATTTTCCCTTACAACAATTTTCCGCCATAAAATTAAGTAGAAAGGAAAGGGAAAATATAACGTCAGTGGCGCGAAGTCATTTGTGAAAAGCAACTTATTATGGAGCGTGGCAGTAACTTTTTTTTCTCATCTTTTCTTCTGTTGTTACGAGTAGCAGAGGAGAAACCCGTAAATCTTTTGCAATAGAAGAAGAGTGTTTCGTCCTGAAAATAGCGAAGAAGTCATAAAAAGAACTTCAATGAAAGCTTCTCATTAATGTCTTCTGTGACTGGAATTTTAGTTTTCACTTCTTGTTCTAACAATGTTCTCGCCCAGATTTTAGCATTATTTTATGTAAAAATTTTTTTGCTCAATTTCTCTGAAAAATGTAAAGAAAGAGTCGAAAGAGCGAGAGACAACATGGGAAAGGAAAAAAAGCCTTTTTTATGATAATTATTTTTAAGCAAATTCATTAATGCGCATAAAAATGTTTCATTGTCTTTTTTTGCTTAGTTCTGTGCCGGATAATGGTAACATGTTTTCTCTTTTACCACAACAAAAATAATTAATTAACTTTTTTTTGTTGATGGAAAAATGTCTACACATGAAAATATGTGAATCTCCTTCGTTTGGGTTTTTTTTGGAAGGGTAGAAAAGTTGTTTCAACTGAACCGTTCCCTGGATATTTAAATGTTAGTTTGATTTTCTTGATGAAATAATGAGATTCTGGCTCTTAATTGTCCATCAATGTAAATATAGAAGCAATAAAGATATAATGAATTAAAGTTTCAAGTCTTCTCTTCACCATGTAAAATTATTTTATTGTAATCATCATCATCAAATCAGTTTAGCTTAACGAGAACCATATACATAAAAAATGAAATCATGAAACAAACCCCGACACTCTCGAAGCATAATTTCATTTTATTGAATTAAATCAGATATCATAATTTTCATTGGGTGGCAGGAAAGTAATAAATTGTGTCTTGAAAGCCTTTGAAGGCAATTTTCATCACGATGTTGATGTAGAATGTGGTTTGATGTGTAGGTATGTGTAGAAAAGACGATAAAGAAAATAAAGAAATAAAATAATTTTTAATGCGCAAAATTCTTTTTTTTTGAAATTTCACGACTGCTCAACAATAAAATGTAATTTTATGAGATATTTTATATTTACCTTTTCTTTCTTGCAATAGTTACACTTCTTTCAACGTTGAAAAAATGGTACGAAAAATAAATATATTCATTTTAAGATTAGACGATCACAATCTAATCGATATGATAGAAATATGTAGGTATTCATATTGTAAACCATTAATGAAAAAAAAAAGTTTGTAACGAAAGTGTTGGGAAACAAAAGTTTCTTTCGAAATAAAGAAGAAATCTGTTCATGAATGTTAAGAATTCTAAAAGAGACTTAACTAGCATTGATAAAACAAACGAAGTCCGTAACTTCTTAATAAGAAGTTCAAAAGATACTGAAAAACTTAGAAGAAAAAACTTTCTTTCAGAGATTTTAATCATTCGAAATGAGTTGAATGGATACTTTACTTATTTACAAATATAATTCATGCAAATGGCTATTATTTAAATTTTAAATAAATGTTTCTAGAGACCTGAAAAAGACCCCAAGCTACGTTAAATTTAAAGTTTCAAGAAATCTTCATTTGGATGTGACGGAAAAAGCTTTCAAAGCTTACAGAAGTTTGTCATTGTTCAAAATGATAGTAATAAAGCCATCTAAGATCATGAAAAATATTCCTGAATAGCACTAGAGACAGCTTAAAAACGTTTGTATGAGAAAATAAATTAGAATACGTTCGAAGCTTCAATTAATTCGATTCAGTGAAAAAAGCTTTATTTAGTTTTTGTTTCCATTTTAATTAGTGATGCAAAAACTATTGATAAGTTTGAATAAAGAATATTAAATTTTAATGACTCTTTTTGTGGCATGTGAAGTTCAGTTTTGTAATGGGAATTCGGTAGTATTCCAATTCATTGAAAAATTCAAAAGTTTCTAACATATTTCAGATAAATTCTCGAGAGTAAATGAGTGTAAAATTTCAAATCATTTCGATGGAGAAATTTTTGTGAAATTCAATTCCAAACTCGTCTAATAAATGAAAGTTTTGAAAACACGGTTTCATCAAGCTTCTGATTTAACTTAACAACTTCTCAATGACCTTCGTTGTTTCGGAAATTGAATGAACATATGAAACATTTGAAACTAGTCGTTCAAGGGACAGAAAGACTGAATGAAACATATGTTGAAATTAAAAAAAAACTTCGTCTGTTGCTGAAGTAAAATATGTTTTATGCTTCCGTGCGTGGAATTTGGGAACTCATCAACGTGAGTTCGCAAATTCCACGCACGGAAGCATAAAGTTGTTTTGTTACTTTTTTTCTCATCTTAACTTCACAGGAGTTACCAGTGAAATTGAGTAGAGGAACCTTAGTGACATGGAGGGAATCAGCAATGATGTTGAATGAACAAATCCTCGGTGTTATTTTCGGGATAGTCAGATTAGTATCAAAGTTTAAAGTGTAAATATGCCATCAGATAAAAACCTTTTGATTCTAAATGTTTGCTCAAATACATGAAATGTATGTACTGAAACTTTTAAAACACATTTTTAAAAAGTTCACGCTTATAGAGTCAGCATAAAGCTTTTCATACACATACATGAATATTATTATTATCATCATATCATCAAACTTCAAGAGAATGACATGAGAAAAGAGCAACGGAAAAACTAGAGCAGCATTAAAATTGTATGGTTCATGCTTTTGCACACTTCTGGTGAGATTTATTATGCATCTCTTACAAGATGGAACAGTCAAACGTAAGCAAAAATGACGTTTAAAAGAATGAATTTAAACATAGAACAAATGAGGATTCGTGATTGAAAACATCGATCCTTTGTTCCTGTCATAGTTTCATAAAAAGTTCAAAGGATAATAAATTTATGCTTCGTAAAGTATTTCATTATTTATAATTTATTGTGATGATGTGCGCGATATACTTGCATTCGCTTTCAGAGATAACCACACTAAGCTTTGGATTTATTTTTCATTAGAAGTTTGAGGATTCATTATCATCGTAAACTTTCTTTATTGAAAGCTTTTTGAACAACTCAAAACTTTACCCATCTGTGATAGCATATACTTACATAAAAGCCGAAAACTCTCGACGTAGAATGTACTAATAAAATCAGATATAAATGAGAGTTACAACTTTCTCTTTCATTCTCATGACGAACTGAAACTTTCATCAAAAAAGAAATCCAAAATCAAACTTTTATTACACTCATCATCTTGTCATAGAGTCAGAAGATAATTTGATTATTTCATTTTCCTTGGATATTTCTTGTGATTTCCATCACGATAACAGTTGATTACTTCCTTCTCGAATAAAGAAAATAGAATCGTATGAACAGAAAAAGGAAAATAAAAGCTTTTGAAACTTCTGTAAATTGTTATTATCACCATCTTCATTTGAGCGCCTACAATATGATAAACAATTCTTTTTTATATTTTTGTGTACACAGACAGTTTTTGGATCTTTAAGATTTGTAAAAACATGTCAAAACTATAACAAAACTTTTTTTTCTGATGTTTTGCTGCGATGGCAATGACTTTGGTGACTAAGACTTTTCGGGTTTCTTAAGAGAACATGAAAGCTTTCCAAAAAGATGATATGAAAATAATGCTGGAAAACTAAAACATGGGTAGTGGGTGTGTAATACATACTTTTGAAAGTATTAAAGTTTTTTTTTTCTTTTTGTCGTAATGAATTTTTAAGTAAATCATACTGAGAATAGTTAAAATTCTCAGAATACCAAATTTCAGCATAAACTTTGTCATAATGTCGTGAATGTTGATGTCTTGAATTTTGTATGTACATACATATGAAGATGTGGGACATTTGTAAATAAACAACCTCTCATGTATGATAATTTCAATTGACAATTATCATTTTACAAATTGATTAAATAGCATCCTCATGAATGAACCTCAACGAAAGTAAAAAATGTTTCATTTGAAAAGTGAAGGTTTTCAACAAAATAAGAAATGTTCGGCTGTTTTGTTAGACAGATGAAATTGTTTATTAAATCTTGTCCATACTGTTCGAAACTACAACTCAAGACTAGATTGATTGAATCATAAAAGTTAAGTAATGTGCTCAATAAATGCAATGGACAAATAATAAAATTCATAAGAGCCATGCGAGAAATCACTAATCCCTGACACTTTAAGAAATCATTTCCTGACTTCGATGTGATTTATTGGTTTTCATAGAAATTCATTCCATGCTTCAACTGTCACACATATCGATAAACGAAGTTGAATTGGAAATGTGATGATAAAAAGAGCAATAAATACATGACAGATGGCAAATGAATTTTTCTCTTGCTTCATTTCAGTAATATTTGTGTTGACAAAAAACTTTTTCAATAAAAAACGTGACATAATTTCAATTGAAGATGCTTCAGTAATGAAAAAATAAGTGTGGGAGTATTTGAACTCGATTGAAATATTCATAACACTTTTCATCTTTTTCTTTCTTTCATTTCAATGAATCAATAATACTTGTCTGACAATAATTTTATTCCGAATACTTCTAATCCGATATCAATTAAAGTTTATCAAAAAATACTATGACGAAATTTACATTCAGTGAATTAATTTTTTGCTT